GTGGGTCGATCGCCAACACTTAAGGGAAATCCCGAACGCGGATGGCATTTGGTCTCTGGACTTCGGAGGGCCGTCGTTCTAACCTGATTAACCTTTTAAATGAAAAGGAGGAGGGACGAGGAAGGCGGGAGGGAGATAGGGTAGGCTGGGAGGGGAGGGAACAGTGGACCAGGACGGGACATTATCTTTGGGGCTTCGCACCATCTGGAACATGGAACAGGGCTGGTGTGGACACGCCGAACCATGATAGGGACTTGCGTGCGTAGGCCTCTCCCGTGCCTCCTGCTGTTTCCTTCTCCCATCCTCCTGCTTCTCATCCTGCTCTTGCTGCCGCTCCTCCTCCCTTTTCTCAGCTTCTTTCACCCCGCAGGTCCCTGGACCCATGGATGCTCAAATTCTTGCATTCCATGGTGAAGTAGGAGGAGGAGGAGCAGGAGGAGGAGGAGCAGGAGGAGGAGCAGAAGCAGGAGCAGGAGAAGGAACAGGAGGAGGAGGAGGAAGAGGAGGAGGAGGAGGAGGAGTGAACGTACCATGAAGAGAAGAGACGAGGGCAAGCGGACAAGACGCGAGACGAGGGCAAGATGATCCCGCTCACGTCCGACCGCCGCGACGACTACTTCCTAGTGTACTCACTGGGCTCGACCGCTCTGGCACTCACATGGGGCCATGCACGGGGGGCGGAATGTAAATCGTACGAAACAGTATGAGAAGCATTCAGGAAAGCGGGGAACACAGGGATGGGCGGAAGAAGAGCGGCGGAAGAGGGAAGGGCAGGGGACGAGCGAAGCGAAGGGCACCAAGACGGGGACGAGCGGGGTGGGGAGCGCGGGACAGAAGGCACAGGGCTAGCTACATCGAGGGGGCTGGTCTCAGGAAAGGCCTCAGAGAGGGGTCTCATCTCCAGCGCGCGCGTCGAAGCAGTTCGGGTAGAGTTCTTCACGATAGGGTCGTACGCCACCAGCGGCAGCGGCATGCGGAGCTCGAACGCCGCCATCGGCAGCATCATGCAGGACGCGATCTTTAGGTAGGGGACGTTCGCCACCAGCGGCGGCGGCATGTGGAACTCGCTCGCCGCCATAGGCAGCATCATGCAAGACGTGAGCTGCCCGTAGGGGACGTTCGCCACCGGCGGCAGCGGCGCGTGGAACCCGTGCGCCGCCATCGGCAGCATCATGCAGGACGTGAGTTGCGCGTAGGGGTCGTTCGCCACCAGCGGCAGCGGCATGTGGAACTCGTTCGCCGCCAACGGCAGCATCATGCATAACGAGAACTTCAAGTGGGGGTCGTTCGCCACCAGCGGCAGCGGCATGAGGAGCTAGAGCGCCGCCATCGCCAGCATCATGCAGGACGTGAACTTCCAGTCGGGGTCGTACGCCACCAGCGGCAGTAACATGCAGACCGTGATCTTCAAGTCGGGGACGTTCGCCACCATCGGCGGCGGCATGCGGGACTCGGTCGCCGCCATCGGCAGCATCGTGCATGACGTGTTCTTCGGGACGGGGACATGCGCCACCAGCGGCAGCGTGAGGTGGAACGTGTTCGGGATGATGAGGTTGTTCGCCACCAGCAGCGGCATCATGCAGGTCGTGATCTTCAGGACGGGGACCTCCAGCGGCAGTGGCGTGCAGGACGAGATCTGCTGGTCGGGGTCGCTCGCCACCAGCGGCAGCGTCTACCCACGCGTCGAAGCAGCGGTAGAACAGCCTGTTGTCCTTCAGGACGGCGCGCCGCATGGCTCGCCACCACTCGCGGAACGTCTTGGTCAGGATCGATCGCACCTTCGTGACACCGAGGCGGCGCATGGCGACGTAACGGCACAGCGACCGTGCCGTGAAGGATGGCAGTGCAGCTCCGCGGGGACCGTCAGAAGTTCGGGCACGAAGAGCGCGCAGAACGCCAGCAGCATCGGCAGCAGTGGGAGGAAGACTATCGCCACCCACGGCGGCGACATGCAGACTGACGCCAGCGAGGATATCACCAGCGACACGATTTTCAGATCTCTGAGCCGGGAGAGCGTGCAGAGCACCGGCACTGGCGACACCAGCACGGCCAGCTTCAGAATCGGCCACTTGATTGGTTTGGAGGTCATGCAGAGGATCGGCAACGACTCCAGCGGCGCGAACGTCGGAACGTAGAACAGGTAGAGCGTGCAGAACGACACCAGCGGGGTTAGCACCAGCGTCAGCAGGTTGAAGAGAGACTTCGGCAGCTGTAGTGGTATGTTCGGCTGCTTCAGGGTCGGCGGCGGCTCCAGGAACGCGGCGTAGGTCATGCAGGAGAACGTCAGCGACACCATCGGCATCGGGTTCAGCGGCGCGGTGAACTTGACGTGCAGGCGGAGGAAGAGGGCCAGCTCCGTGTCGTGGGACTGGTTGAGCGGGCACCGCAGCGCGCGGTGGTCCAGCATCATCATGGAGCCCAGCATGCACACGACGCCGCTGGATGAAGTTCGCGACCTCCTGGAGCTCGTGGTTGCCGCAGACGCCCAGCGGGTAGAGCGGGAGCATCACGTTCGGCATGTGGCGTTGGTGTGCTATGTCGGTGTGGACGGGATCGCCATCAGCCGAGCGTGCCGCCACGGCGCCAGGGACGAGAATATGAAGACGAAGGACATGGCGGCATGCGGCTCCGCGTGGGCGAGCGCGACCCCGCTGCAGCCCTCGGCAGGTGCGGATGTACGAGGCCGCCAGGGATCGCGTGTGCGGCATGGCGACTGCGCACACCAGCGGCAGGAGGCTCAGCAGCCCCAGCCATTGCATAGATATGGATGGACGCCGTCAGATACGGGCGGCGCAGCGCTTGGCCAGGGGGCCTTGGGCGAAACAGCTGTGGAACTCATTTCGGCCCAAGTCCGAGATCCCACGGAGGGGACGGACTTGAACCAAAATGGCTACGGAAGGAGGAGGAGGAGGAGGAGGAGGAGGAGGAGGAGGAGGAGGAGGAGGAGGAGGAGGAGGAGGAGGAGGAGGAGGAGGAGGAGGATGTGGAGGAGGACCAGTGTAAATCCAAGGGTCATCAACGATGTTGGAATAAACCCTTCCTCCAAGCTCCCTCTTTATAGGCCCTTAGAGCGGTCCATTTCTACAGCGGGAACTGCCTCGTTGGAAGACAACCGTTTGAAGATCCTGAAACCTGCCAAAACGTTGTTCTCGGAATTCCAACGCCACGGATCAACCTGATTGGTGCGTCTTGACGATCTGGAATCGTGCCAGAACGCCATTCCTGGGACTTCAACGCCGCGAAACAACGTAACTGTTGCACCTTCATAATCCGGACTCCTTCCAAAACGCCAGTTCTGGTACTTTGACCATGGGAATCCGTGAACTTCTTGTAATGCTATAAAACGAATGTGCGCGGCGCTGAGGCGAGAACCACATCTTGAAAAGAGGCGGCGCTAAGGCGAGAGCCATATTTTGAAAACCATCCGCCCTCAACCCGTGGAACTCTTGCACATTTTTCAAACGAATGTGCGCGGCGCTAAGGCGAGAGCCATATTTTGAAAACCATCCGCCCTCCATCTGTGAAGCTGTTGTCACTTTTCAAGCTCAAGGGTCATAAGTGATGGGGAAGTCTCAAGCGAAACGCCCCGCCCGCCCTAAAAACTGGTCTCGGGGTGCGACAAGGAGAAATTATTTTTGAGGAGAGAGAATGGAGGAGGAGGAGTGGCAGGAGGAGGAGGAGGAGGAGGAAAAGGAGGAGGAGGATGATGATGAGGAGGAGGAGGAGGCTGAGTAGGAGAAGGAGGAGGAGGAGGAGGGGAAGGGGAGGAGGAGCAGAAGGAGGAGGAGGAAGAGGAGGAGGAGGAGCAGGAGGAGGGCCACGCCTTGCTCGCCCACCCGAGCCCGCCAACGGAGAGGCCAGGCCAGATCAAGCCGCAGGGCCCTGTAAACTGGGACTTTGATGATTCGGGCGGGTGGTAATGGGGGGGGGCGCACATGGAAGGTAAAGAGAAAAGGCCCCAAAGGGGCCCTTTAGGGCCTCCTTTGGGCCCCTCCTGGCTCCAGGAAGAGCTCTCTAGGGCCTTCTTCTTCACCCCCATTGGGTCACCCCCCACTGCCACCCGCCCGATTGATACTGCAGGTTCGTGCCGTGTCGACCCCAGCTTTGGTTCCTGACACCACGGGGATCGTTCAACCTGAAACGACCGGACCCGTCGCAAACGTCAAATCCGTTCAACATCGACCGATTCTGGGTCGCCGACCGATTCTGGCTCAACGTTGAACGCCAGCGGCGGGGTCGCCACGGGTCGACACGACGAAAACCTACCTTAACCCCAGATTGTTGGCGCACCCGAGAAAAATGCAGCCGCGGGTCCAGACGTCCTCCCCTCCTCGTTTTCTCCAGCTGGATCTTTCAAAGTCCTGGTCCGCAGTGTCCTGATGTCAGGGGCACCGGAAGCCTGCCCCTTGATGTCCTCTAGAGCTGGCGGCGTCGTACCCAGCCTTATATATAGCTCCAGCTGGGTCTTTCAAAGTCCTGGTTTGCCATGTCCTGGTTTCAGGGGCACCGAAAGCCTGCCCCTTGATGTCCTCTGGAGCTGGCGGCGGCGTAACCAGCCCTATATATATACTAGAACCACGCGCGCGCTTCGCGCGCGCTTAGGTTCTAGCTAGGAGGCGAGCTTGAGTCAACGAAAGTCGCAGGGAAGGGGGCAGGGGGAAGAAGGCCAGAGAGCGCTGAAGGATACAAATACTGGAACCCTCTTGTGATTTTGTGGGGGGCCTCGTCCGGCCGCTCGCTGGGAGTTTGACGTAGCTTCTCGGGAGCCTCTGAACCTGTCGGGGGCCTCCTGGAAGCAGGTTCGAAGCATTTTGGGGGCCGATTTGGGGCTTCTCGGGGCCTCCTTTGGGCCTCTTGGGGGTCTCCTGGGGCCTCTTGAGGGGCCTCCTTGGGGCCTCCTGGCGGCCTCTTGGGGCGGAAGGCTCGAGCTTGCGGTTCGTGGTCCCCCTCTGGGCCCCCTCTTGGGCCCGTCTTGGGGCCCTCTTGGGCCATCTTGGGCGCCTCTTGGGCCGTCTTGGGGCCCTCTTGGGCTGTCCTGGGGCCCTCTTGGAAGCTTCTTGGGCCGTCTTGGGGCGGTCTTGGAGGCCTCTTGGGCCGTCTTGGACGCGGTGAAAGCCCAAGATGCGAACATGCGAAAAATATACGTTTTCCCATAGGAATGGCACGATTTTTGTTTCTTGGACCTCTCTTGGGGTGCCTCTCGGAACGTCTTGGGCTGATTTTGGAAGCCTTTTGGCGCCTCTGGGCGGCGTTTTGGCGCCTCCTGGGATATGTTGGGCCGGAAGCTCGGAATTCGAGAGTGGCTTTCTCCTTCTGGGACCCCTCTCGAAGTCGTCTTGGGGTTCTCTTGGGCCGTCTTGGGGCCGTCCTGAGCCACTCGTGCGCAGCCTTGGAGCGCTCCCGGAGGCCTCCTAGGCCGTCTTGGAGGCCTCTTGGGCCGTCTTGGACGCGGTGAAAGCCCAAGATGCGAACATGCGAAAAATATACGTTTTCCCATAGGAATGGCACGATTTTTGTTTCTTGGACCTCTCTTGGGGTGCCTCTCGGAACGTCTTGGGGTGCTTTTGGGAGCCTTTTGGCGCCTCTTGGCGGCATTTTGGCGCCTCCTGGAGCCTCTTGGGCCGGAAGCTCGGAATTCGAGGTTGGCTTTCTCCGTCTGGGACCCCTCTCGAACTCGTCTTGGGGCTCTCTTCGGCCGTCTTGGGGCCGTCCTGGGCCACTCGTGCGCAGCCTTGGAGCGCTCCCGGAGGCCTCGTAGACCGTCTTGGGCGCCTCTTGGGCCGTCTTGGACGCGGTGAAAGCCCAAGAGGCGAACATGCGAAAATATACGTTTTCCCATAGGAATGGCACGATTTTTGCTTCTTGGGCCTCTCTTGGGCTGCCTCTCGGAGCGTCTTGGAGGCTTCTGGGACCTTCTTGGTGTCATGACAGGCGTCTTGGAAGGCATCTGGAGCCATCGGAGCGCGTTCCGAAGCCGCCTGCGAACGATCTTGGACGGCGTCCGGCGGTCCGACGAGCCTCCGGGCCCCCCGGGGCCCACATTTGTGGTCGGGGTCCCGGCCCCGGGCCCCCTGACCCGGTGCGCCGTTATATGTATATATATATATATATGTGTGTATATAGGTATAGATGTATAGAAGGGGCTCCCATGGCTGCCCAAATATTGTCCGAGATCGCAGCTCGATCCGACCACCTGCACCATCGGGTCGAACCCCGTCGGTGGAACATAGGGTCTTGACCTCGGGGGTTGCGCAATCGGATCGATCGATGCTGTGCGCGAATAGAGGCGCACAACAGCGGATCGGGCGACTCGTGGGCAACCAATGATTCCTCTCATATCACCCAACCGCCCCCCCTCTCTTTCGAGTGTCTTTAGTCGCACGTTGGGTAATCCAGGAGGTTGGGGGAAACACGTTTGCGTAAAGCGGGCGGTTCAGTATCTTACACGAGAAGTGGGAGAACACATCTTCCATGGCGAGGGTCTTCCCTCCCCTCCCTGCACTTTTCTTGCTTGTCTCTCTCTCTCTCTGTGTCTGCTTTCTCCTTCTCCCTGTCCTGCTGCTTTTACTCTCCCTGTTCCAGACACAACCAGAAGCATCCGAGGCTCGCGGCACCCAGAAGCCCCCGACAACCCAAGAACGCAGCAGAACACATCAGGAAGCCTAGAACCTCCTCGTTGCTGTTGCTGTTGCTGTTGCTGTTGCAGTTGTAGTTGTAGTTGTTGCTGTTGTTGTTATTGTTGCTGTTGTTGTTATAATTGCTGTTGTTGCTGTTGTGATTGTTGTTGCTGTTGTTGCTATCATTGGTATTGTTGTTGCTGTTGTTGCTGCTGTGGTTGTTGTTGTTGTTGTTTCAGTTGTGGTTGCTGTTGCTGTTGTTGCTGTTGCTCTTGCTGTTGTTGTTGCCGTTGTCATTGTCGCTGTCGTTGCCGTCGTTGTGGTAGTTGCTGTTGTTGTCGTCGTTGTCGCTGTGCTAGTGGTAGTCGTAGTAGTGGCAGTAGTAGTTGCTGCTGCTGTTGTGGCTGTTGTTGTTGTTGCTGTTGTGGTTGATGCTGCTGTTGATTCTGCTGTTGTTGTGGTTGTCATTGTCGTGGTCGTTGCCGTCGTTGTGGTTTTTGTTGTCAGTGCTGTTGTGGTAGTAGTAGTAGTAGTAGTAGTAGTAGTAGTAGTAGTAGTAGTAGTAGTAGTAGTAGTAGTAGTAGTAGTAGTAGTTGTAATAGTAGTAGTAGTAGTAGTAGTAGTAGTAGTAGTAGTAGTAGTAGTAGTAGTAGTAGTAGTAGTAGTAGTAGTAGTAGTAAGTAGTAGTAGTAGTAGTAGTAGTAGTAGTAGTAGTAGTCGTAGTAGTCGTAGTAGCAGTAGTAGTAGTAGTAGTAGTAGTAGTAGTAGTAGTAGAGTAGTAGTAGTAGTAGTAGTAGTAGTAGTAGTAGTAGTAGTAGAGTAGTAGTAGTAGTAGTAGTAGTAGTAGTAGTAGTAGTAGTAGTAGTAGTAGTAGTAGTAGTAG